AAAAAAAAAAGAAAAGCATGTCTCCAGAAACTCTATGAACTTTGATAAATGTCAAGAGTTATAAAAGAGCTTTGAGGCTTTTGTTCATAGGGTTGCTATGAGTCGTGCTCGACTCGAAAATAATCAACAACACAACAACAGTAATAAAAGTACTCTATTGTGTAACAGGAGATCCTTTAACAGAAAAAAGATGTATTATTAAATTAATGAAAACATATTTAGATTTAAGAAAAGACACCTTTAGAGTCACCTTGGAATGCTGAGTAGATAGTCTAAGGTGACACTCAGTTCATCCATATTTGTCTGTTCCAGGCATAATGGAATTGTCAGAATGAGGCCACTTCGTCTGTCCTTTCCGCCTATTAAGAGGGAGAAAAAGATAAATTTAACATGTAATGGACAGTAAAATATCTATGAATAATGCACATTTGTATCCAATGTTACTAAAGCAATTAGAAGCTCAAAAGAATAGCTATTAACTTGATAGGAACCTTGGAGGGCAATGAGTTCATTATTGAGGAATAACTTGTAAAAGGAGAGTGGTTACACAACACGAAGAATGTAATGCATGTCCCCAAACTGAACAGGGAGAAAATGCTGGACTGGTCAGTTTTGCTGTGCATTTCTTCAAAAAACAATCACATAAATGAGTAAAATTTAATTTTAAATGACTGTTTTATACACTGTAAATATTTATAGTATTATAACAAAGTTCTAGAAAATTTAGGAAAAAAAAAGATAAAATTCATCTATGAAAAAATCTTTACCCATACACGGCAATTACAATTCTGTTTCATTTTCTTCTATTTAGGCTGATGCTTAATGCAATCAATTCATCAAGCATCTATTGTGTGTCTAGGACAATAAGCACTTATAAGTAAAATAAAATAAATGGTTTCACTGCTGGCTTAAGAAATTTACAATCAAGGACAAAAAGATGTAAGCCATAAGAAAGAATGAGTTTATTTGAAAAATTTTATTGCACAGAACATATTCTAAAATATAATAAAAAGAATCTAGAAAATGTTAAGGACTATCATAAACATGACAATTCCGTAGAAAAGTTAAAACTTTAAAAAAGACAAGTAGAATTTCTATCAACCATGTCAGAGGCATTCTACAATAAAGAATGATCTGAGCTTAAGGCACAAAGGTAAGGTCAGGTGAGAATTTTTGTTCAGGCAGCAACGCTCTGCCAGTTAAGAAGATTGTGTGGTAATGAGTACTGAAGCCAGAAAGCCACATAATGGAATACTTAACTGTCATACACGTTCATGTTCCCTTAATACACCATAGCAATAAAAACGTAAGACTGTTGTGCACAAATCGCTTCTTTGTACATTCCCTACAAGCGTGACTTTAACAATGAAGCTCATCTTCTGGCCCAATTGATACTTAACAGCAATTATTGAAGCTTAAAAGCTCACAAGTGCTAAAGGGAATGATTCTATATGAGCTTCAGCAAACTCAGGAAAGTGAAGAGGATATTCACAAAACTTATTAAAAACTCAAGGTATCAAATGAAAAAAAACCATAATAAAGAAGTGATTCAGGTTGTGATGATTCTCTGCATTCTATTGGATTAACCATATAAATTGCTGGCAGTAAATGGATTAGTTTAATTTCAATATAGTAATTATATATGGTTCAACATAACAATGACTTCAACTAGATATTTTTTTAGAACATAGGTTTTATTTCTTTCTTTCTTTTTTTTCTTATTATTAATTTTAATAGACATTTACAGAGGTTTTGGATTTCCATTCATTCATTGCCATACTTTTCTCCCTGCCCACCCCTCCCCACCAGCTCACTCCCCCCTCCGAAGAGAAAAAGAAAAAAAAAATTCCTTCATTAGTACACAATTCCCACATCCCTTCCCCCCACCCCCCACCCCGAGTACACTTCTCTATGCAACCTTAATTCTGGATTCCTCTGCTAACCATAATACTCAATCATATATCACTTCTAATCTGTTCTTTCCCTCATCTGTTTCAATACAATATACATAATTTATCTTATAAGTTTCTTTTTGTACAAAGAGTTTCACAATATATTACACAAATGGTTTTCAAAACTATATCCTATGAATGCTTTTGTTGGTATGGAAAAAAAACCTGATTTAAAAATTTAAAATTACTGGTTTAAATAGTCAATAGTCAAGAGAAGTGACTTAAGAGATGTGTAATTTACTCTTTAAAATTTCCAAATCCATGACGTCAAATGTCATAGAGGGACTCTGACCCTCTGTAGAACTGCCTTGAGAGGATAAGTGTTAGCATTCAGCACTATGTTTAACTTCATATCCCTGGCTTTACTAAGGGACAATAAAATAATCACCAGTGTAAAAATGAAAAGGGTTGAAGCTCAGAAGAAAAGTTTTTCAAGTTAAGTATGATCAATCAAAAGGATAAGTGTTGCATGGCTAAGTGACACAGGGCTCAAATGTCACTGAAAAAAAAAATAAAAGAACAATAATATTCACTATTGGCAATGAGAAAACGGGCATTTCAATACACTTTTGGGAGAAAAGTAAACTGTAACAATCTTCTTAGAGGGTAATATGGCAAAACCTAACAAGAAATGTACTCTATCACTTCCACTTACAGAAATTAATACTGCTGAACCTGGACATAAAACACAAAGCTAAGAACATTATAAGAACATTTACTACAGCACTGTTCATATTAGAAAATAATAGTGGGGAAAGTTAAGTGTCTGCTTATAAAGGAAGATGATAGAAAGATAGACAGATGATAATCATTAAGTAAAGAAACAGAAATACTAGTTGAATTACATTTTCCATTTTATTCCTTTTAGTTTATACTGCATTAGGAAAGCATGACCATTTTTTAAAAGAATATTCATAAACACCAACACAATTCTGAAAAGACTCAAAGACAATTAAAAAAAAAGATAATATCTTCTGAATAATCCTGTGAATAACCCTAGATAGTGGAGTCTATGCTCAAGGATGTGTAGATTTACACAATAATCCAAGATTGCAGAAATTTCTAATCCAAAATACAGTACCAGTGCTCTCAAGCTAGCAAAACATCTCATAGATTCTCCTTGACCTAAAATAGCTGATGGCAAACTGGATTAATAACCAAGACTGGAATAATAACTAAGACTGGATTAATAACTAAAGGTAAATTCAAGACTGTGTTAATCAATTTTTTCACTTTAAAAAAGTGAAAACCTTTGATATTTTGGTACTCTTCCAAAATACTTAAACTTCCTCAACAAAGAGATGAAAGGGAAAACTAGGAGACAGGATATCATAAAAACTTAACCATGTTACTGAAATAGTATTTTTTTTAGATGTCACTAATTATTCTTATCCTCTATCATTATATTGTTATATAAAAAGTGATGCATTATAACATCATCTACCATATGTTGTTATTTTCACTAAACTACAGGACAGAAGAAAAATTGCCCTGCCAAACGTCAATAGTGACAACCTGCACAGCAATGTATTTGGATTAAAAGATATCTCAGAAATATTTTCTAAACAAAACCCTCATAAAAACAAAAAAAGCCATTTCTGTCAAATTTATCAAAGAAAAATTTAAACAAGAATATAAACATAAATATGTAGATATGTAAATCTACTATACATATATATACACACACACACACATTTATACATACATATGTGTGAAGGAGATTATATGACTTCTAATTTTAAGCTGAAATGAAGGAAAACATACCTGAAAGAAAGGCAAGCTTTTTCTTCAGAATGGGTAATATTACTGAGGCCTCCATTTCACTTCAGCAAACTTCCTCACTTCTGCAAACACAAAAATTAAATGTCAGCTGGAACAATTACTGAATTTTACAAAACACACTTTAACCAGCATTTCTCAACCTTAGCACTACTGACATTTTCCCTACATTTTTTGTGGAAAGCTGTGTTGTTCACTATAGAATGTTTAGCAGGACATCTGGCTTCAACCCATTAGATCTGAGCACCTGTGTCTCCAGATACTTCAAGTGGTTGACAAAACTGCTCCCAGCTGGGAAGCCCTAGACTTGACTCAACTGTTTTTCAAAGTAATACTCTTAGGCCAGAACAGTGCCTAGTAACTTAATTTATAACTTTTTGAAGTAAGGAATGAATCAATCAGCTACTATTCTCTTTGTTTTTGTTGTTGTTGTTATATGCCATCGAGTCACTTGCATCTATACGCTCTTCTATCCCGTGCCAACCTAGCCATCTCAAACGCACTTATTCCCACCTCTCTAGTCAGAGAATCGATCCATCTCATCAAAGGTCTTCCTCTCCTTCGCCGCCCCTCCACTCTGCCAAACCTGATGTCCCTCTCCAAGGACCAGTCCCTCCTTGCAACATGCCCAAAATATGTCAGACGAAGCTTCAGAATCCTTGACTCCAAGGAACATTCTGGCTTCACCCTCTCCAGGACAAACCTGTTTGTTCTCCTAGCAGTCCATGGTATATTCAACACTCTTCTCCAGCACCACAGCTCAAAGGCATCAATTCTCTTTCTATCAACCCTAGTCACTGTCCAACTCTCTGATGCATAGCACGTAACTGCGAGACTATAGCCCGGATCAGGCGCACCTTGGTCTCCAGTCTGACATCGTTGCTCTTCAGTACTCTTGAGAGGTCCCTCACAGCCAACTTTCCCAATGCAATTCGTCTCTTGATTTCCTGGCTGCTGTTACCAAGAATGTTGACTGTGGAGCCAAGTAAACTAAAACTGTTAACTATCTCAATCTCTTCACCATCCATGCTGATGCTGCCAATTGCCCCAGTGGTTAGAATCTTTGTTTTCTTGATGTTGAGCTTCAGTCCATATAGGAGGCTCTAGTCCTTGATCTTCTGCAGCAAGCACTATTCTCTTTATTGTTCTTATTAATTCTATCTAACTGGCTCATGTAGTTCCACTATCAAATGGTGTTCTGGAATTTCTCACATTTTTGATCCACTATAACTCATATTAATATATCTTATTCTCTGTCTACACAATATTTTTCTGGCATAGTGTTTATATCTTTTGGTTCTGCTGTTATCCATATCTCCATACTTCACTGTTTTAAACTATTTAGAGAAGAATACGATTCTCTCAGTTAATCTTTTTAAACCAAGTCATAATTCACTGAGCTGTTGTTATAAAGGTAGTCCTTTTGATGTTTAGCTTTTAACTCTGACTTTGCTGGCTGGACTCTAAAACAGCTGAACAAAGTCAAAGGTAAAAGCTAAACACCAAAAGGACTACCTTTATAACAACAGCTCAGTGCTTGATAAGACAGGCATTCTAAAAAACTGGCAACCCCAGCTCATGATCAAAACAGTAATTAATAAATCATGATATTTAAAACAAAACTAAGATGGAATTATTCTCCTATATTTAACTTTAATTCATTTCGTTTTAATTTTAAATCTGAAAGAGATTTTTCTCCACTCTATTTTATCAGATTCATTCCTGTCCCTTTTCACACCCACACATCATCATTACATAGTATCCGTTTCTTGAGAGCACAAAGGAATTAAGTATCTGTAAACTCTCAAAAACAATTTTCAGAAAAGTAGAAAGTGGGACTCATTATAAGAATGCACATTATTTGTTATACACTTACTATGCACTTATCTCATTTTAGGGATGATGCCACCAAACTAGAGCTAAAAGAGCAAGTCACATCCTAGCCTGCTTTCAAAACAAACAGACACTACTTTAAAAATTCCAAATATCAAAGAGGAAAAAAGAGACTGAGAATTACCAAATAGTTAAATAAAACTAATCAAATATATTATCTTACAGCTTTCATGTCTTTGAAAAACACAACTACTTATCTACAAAGGAAACAAGCTGTCCAATATTATGATCTATCCTTCTCAATTTTAGTCCTTGAATGACTATTTACATTCTGTTCATTTTGATTGGATATTAGTTTATAGTAACATGATAAATAATAAGAATCAGGAAGGAAAAGCTTATGACTTACATTTTAATATAAAAACAGTATTGTTTCACATTTCTAGATCAATTATTTTAACAAGTTGTTAATCCACACAAGTTATTATAAAACAAGCCAGAGAACTCAGAATCACAACTTGGATCCTTTCTCTTGTGACCAGATTACTAGAGGTCTGGTTTGAAAGCTTTATAATGTTGATAACAAAAAAAGATCATGATAATTAACATTTATTAAATGAACATTTAGATATTAAATAACTAACATATTATTATTATTAGTAAATGATTAGTATAAGCCATGCACTGTACTAAAGGGTTTATCTGTATTTACTTATTTAATTCTCAAAACATTTCTATAAGGAAATTATTATTGCTATTCTCATTTTACAGGAGCATTAGCAGAAATGAAGTTTATCGGTGCCCAGCATCATTCAGCTCGTAAGTCAGAAATTCAGGATTCACACTCAAGACAATCCAGGTTGCACAATGGTGCTTTAAATGAAATCTATACATAGACTAGAAAACTACTGTCCAAGGGAACACTGAATGGTTTAAAATCAGAAAAGGTGTGCATTAAGGTTCTATCCTCTCTATATATACCTATTCAATCTGTATACTAAAATCATTAGAGAAACTGAACTTTATGAAGAAGACTGAGGGTTGGACAAACAATGTGCATTTTGCAGACGACACAACTTTCAGTGAGAGGACTTAAAGCACTTGCTGCAGAAGATCAAAGACTGTTGCCTTCTGGATTACATCTCAACTTCAAGAAAACAGAAATTTTCACCACTGGGCCAATAGGTAGTGTCACGACAGACGGAGAAAAGATTATAATTGTTAATTATTTCATCTTGCTTGAATCCACAGTAAAAACTCTTAGTACCAGAAGTCAAGAAATTGGGAGACATTGCATCAGGAAAGTCAGTTTAAGAGACCTCTCCAAGGTCCTGAAAAGCAATGAAGCCAGTTTAAAGACTAAGGTGTGCCTGATTCAAGCCACTATCTTTCAAATCACCTGCTATGCATTGGAGAGATGGGTAATGAAAAAGAATATGCATTTGAATTGTGGCATTGGAGAAGAGTGTTGAATAACTCCTTGGACTGCCAAAAGAACAAACATATGTCCTGAACAAAGTGCAGCCAGGGTGTTCCTTGGAGGCAAAGATGGCAAAGCTCTGTCCCACATATTCTGGACTTGTTAGGAGAGGCTTTTTTTCCCCTTTTTACACAGGGACATCATTCTTGAAAAGGTGGAGGGTCAGCGAAGGAGATGAAGACACTCAACGAAATGGAATGAATGATACAGTGTGTGCAGCAATGGACTCATGTAAAGTTCGTGCATAATAGGAGAGACTTCAGATTTGTTTTTCCTAGGATTGCTATGAGTTGCCTTTGAAGTCAAGTTGATTCCAAATCACAGTGTCCCTATTTGGGCAGGGTACAGCTGTCTCAAAATAGTGTTTCCAAGGCTACAATCTTTATCAAGGCAGCCTGTCACATCTTTCTCTCATGGAGTGACTTGTGAATTACTCCACGAATCTCTCCGTTAGCAGCTTAACAATTACCCACTGCTTTCCTAGGGATCCATGACATCATACAACCAGCTTAATAAAACAGGTCTAAAAATATCTAGTGACATTTGGCCAATTGAACAATGTGGAATGCTAGCTTACATGAAAAATATAAACATCTGCCAATAAAGTTTATAGCTGGGTGGCAATGAAAAATAAAAAGGAAACTAGCTTTTATGGTGTCACAGCTTTGACTTATTCTAAGGTACTTAAACATCTGCCTATCAATGCTTGGGTACCATCAGTGCAAATAGCAAGACAATGAAAAAGGCAAATAATACAGAAGCAGTATTATGAGATATTCTTTACTCCATAGACCCTGCTGAGGGCTAGAATCAACAGAACTGCTAATCTAGGCTAAGTCAATGAGGAATTCTCACAAAAGAATTTCATCCTTGGGGGAAGTGATGCAAATCCAAGGGCATCTTATTTAGAGAAACAGAACTATTACTGTAATCAAACTTTTCAGGTGATATGTTGTTGTTGTTGTTATGTGCCATTGAGTCGCTTGTTGTACCCTATGTACAACAGCCCCAAACCCTGCTCTATCCTATGCCAATCGCACTG